CTTTCTCTGAAATCTCTTATGGTGTGCTTTTCCTTGTGTAGCTTCACAATAGCTTGACTCACAGAGTAATCAAGTTTTTGGCGTTTCGCCATGGTGCCGGCTGATGCAACGTTTACAAATGACTAAGTAAGACTTATTCTTTAGAGGAAATCAAAAAAATTGAATATAGCATACTGTTTACATTGTTTTTCTCAATTTTGTCCCTTACTTTTGGACGATCCTATTTTGAAAATAAATAAATAATTGTTATAATTCTTTTTCTATCCTTTGCAAATGATTCAAATTTTAGTATGTTATTATGGATGATAACGACTACCAGTTGTCAAAATTTCAGCTTTTCACAGTTGTTATTTCTAACAAATATTAGGTTTTAAAATTTTGTCCCTTAGTTTTGGACGCTACTGTATATATATAATAATCTGTTTCATGCTATATGCAATTTGTAAATAAATTTGTTAAACAAATAGTAAATATGCGAACAGTACAATGCTTTCTAAGTATATCTGGGAAATTAAAAACAAAACGGACATCACACCAAAAATATCTTGGAAGATAAGGAAAAAATCATCAGCCTACAACAACCAATCAAAAACTTGCAAACTTTGCCTGGAGGAAAAAATAGCTATCATTACTTTCCCCGACCAAAATAAATTATTAAATAAAAGATCCGAGCTCATCTCAAAATGCAGGCATGAAAATAAATTTTTACTACGTAACCTAAAAAATGAAAAACAGAAAAAATAAAATAAAAACAAATAAATATACTAATAAAATAAAAATAAAAATAAATAAATACTATGTTGCTTAAAAACCGACAACCGAAAAGAGAAAATATACAAGTAAAATAAATTGACCTAAATAAACAATCCAATTAAATAAATAAACAAACCAATCCCAAATAAAGATAATCAATTAAAACCTGTTCCCGCCAAAATAATAGTTAGAATGAACCACAACAATCAACCCCAAAATTGAACAAATAGCTTTAATTAAATTCTCAAACCAAAACAAAACTGTTAATTAAGTGATATAAACAAATTTTTACTACGTTAATAAATAAATAAATGAATAAAATAAGAAACAAAAAAAAACAAAAAAAAATAAATAAATAAAAACAAGCAATATAATTTGACCCAAATAAATAAACAAACGACTTCCGGTAAAATAACCGCCATAATAGAATACCCACAATGCACCACTAACCCATATATATATAAATAGCCGAGAAAAAATAACAGCATATGTGGCCTGACGATTTGCATATAGCATGAAACAGACTGTCGCCTCTAATGTTGACTTCTATGTTCACTATATTTATATATATATATATATAAATATATATATATATATATACGTGCACATATACATACATATAAACACCTACATACACATATATAAACATACCCACATATAAATATCCATATAATATATATACACCCCTTATATATATATATATATATATATATATATATATATATATATATATATATACATACACAATAATACACATATATACATCCATATATAAAGCATTCACACATACGTTTACATATATACACATACATGCACACACACGCACGTACACATATACACTTATATAAATACACACACACATATATATAGACATATATATATATACATATACACATATACCACACATACGCATGCACATATATACGCACATAAATACACAAAAACATATACATACACATAAATCAAAGAATATAACTTTCAATAAATAATGTAAAATAATTGTATGACAGCAAAATAAGTGCAAAATAACATTCTATTTATAAGATAATTTAAATCTATTGTTATAGCGACATTAAATATGATCTCATTCCTTTGGTTCAAAAGCTGACTGGTAGTTTTATATTTAATTATTTTAATTTTTTCTTCCAGGCACAAATTACATCTATTTCTGAAGCTGTTGGGGGTTTGGGATTTATCCGTAATCTTTCATTCTATCTTTAGGGTGAAGTTTCTATCCTTTAATTCCCAGAAATATTTATAATGAGCTGTCTGATGTTTTAGATAAGGGCTGGAGAAAGAAAGCTCGTGATTGTAGAGCCTCTGCTTCCAGGTCCCAGCGGAAATTCCGATGTATACTTTTTCTTTATATTTTCTTTAGGGAAAATGTTTGCTTGGTATATAACATTTTCGGATTTGCATAAACCTCCAACAGGGCGGTTGTTTTTGGTTCTACAATTACAAGAGGGTTTTACTATCTGGTTGGTTATTGTTATAAAGTTTGTTTAATATTTTATTATTATGTTATTTGTGCAGGAGTAGCTAACTTTTAAGGTTTTTCTATTAAAAATGTTACTTAAAGGGATATTTCGGTTAAAATGTTTGTCAATCAATTTCAGAAATTATTAACCTATATTTATATTAGATAGTTGGCAGAAAGGAAGGTTAAACCATATAACTTTTCTTTTTCTGTGTCTGGGTCTAGTTATTTTAGTAGTTTTTAAAGATTCAAGGTAAAATATTATTTGTTTAAAGCGACTTTTTGAGGGTAACATTATAAGATTTTTTATTTTCATTGAAAATTTTATTTTATTTTGTTTTTGGTTCTACATTTACAAGAGGGTTTACTATCTTGTTGGTTATTGTTAAAAAGTTTGTTAAATATTTTATTATTATGTTAATTAATAATATTATACATGTTATTTTATTATTGAATTGGAATGATTGGAGTTAACGCTAGAATAGATAATACAGTTTCATTATCTTTGTGATATGGTTTAAATGTGTTGTTCAAAAGATTGAAAGTTATATCTAATAAATTAACTATTTTAAGGTTGAATGAAATTTAAATTCTAAACATAAGGAATTTGAATTTGAAAGCCATGATATATTTCTTTTCTATATTAGAAGATAGTGAACAATTACTATTAGAGATAAAAATAAGTCTATCCACTCTGTTCAGGGTCAATAATCCTATTGTGTGTTTAAAATATCGATTCCTACTAGGTTTGCAGTCACAACGGAATCATAGGCAACCATAGGAACATCGAAATTTTCAATGTAGCTTTTAATCCAAGTGGAATTATTATGAGTCGGTAATGATTTTTTAGAAGCTAATATAATTGAATCCGTAAGTTTTACATAGTTTCATGCAAAATTTATACATTTTAATAAGAAGTTTTGAAAATGGAGGGTAGAAATCTATTTCGCCGAATTGAATAAATATGGCCTTATCTTTATTTGCCATAATATATATATATATATATATATATATATATATATATATATGACAATATGGAATTTTTTTCGTTTGAATCGATTTGTCATTAGAACTTCATGGGGGATGATAAATAAAAAAATTATATATATGACATAATGTATAATATATTATCTATCGTTTACACACACACACACACACACATATATATATATATATATATATATATATATATATATATATATATATATATGGTCTTAAGGCGTGCTATATTTATGGGATAAAGTGCTCAATATCAGAGATAGAGCGTGTATAAATATAAAAGTGAACATTGAAGTCAACAATTAGAGGCGCAATCATGGCCTGACGATTGCGTCTAGCATGAAACAGCCTGTCGCCTTTAAGTGTTGACTTCAGTGTTCACTTCCACATTTATATATGTGTGTGTGTGTGTGTGTGTGTCTGTGTTCGTGTGTGTGTGTGTGTGTGTGTTATGATGTCAACATTCTGTACTTTATATATCTTTTGACATACATATATATATATATATATATGCATACATACATACATATTAAGTATATATATAGAGAGCAAATATTCATTAAATTATTTTCAGGTTTCTTTGTAATAAAAAAAATAAACATTTAGTGTCGATTATTTTCATTAATTGACTTTTCAAAATTACAAACAATCCATCTCATAGAAATAAGAAATACCGTCAGAATTTTCAGTCGTGGAAGAAAAGTACAAGAAATAAAGTTGAACCTTCGTTCGTTCGCACGTATAGTCGCACCAACATAGTAAATTTGGTCTGATGAAGTCTTAAAGGACGAAACGCGACACACGAAAACATTTTCTACTTTGTCATAATTTCCCCTAATAGCGTTCTTGATATATAAAAAAAACGATATATCGTTATCTCATATATGTATATATGTATGTATATATATATATGTATGTATATATATATATATATATATATATATATATATATATATATATATATATATATATATATATATATATATACATGCATGGTCAAAAACTCAAATCCATCTATGAATGGCATTTATATATATATATATATATATATATATATATATATATATATATATATATATATATATATATATATATATATATATATATACATACATACATACATACATACATGGTTAAAAAAAACTCATATCCACTGCGAATGACATTTATATATATATATATATATATATATATATATATGACAGATTATTTCTGCCACACCAGGATAGAATGATCTTTAAAAGAGGGATCGTATGTTTATTTATAAACAAAGGATACAAATGTGTCACAAAGATTAAAATTTAGATACATTTCGATCGACACATTTTCAGAAAAAGTATCCTACCAAATAAGACTAAGTGATTGAAAAGAAAAATTATTTCCAACAAAACAGGCCGAGGGAACACACACACACACACACACACACACACACAATATATATATATATATATATATTTCTGGTATGTATGATGTTTATGTTCTATTGCTCCTCTAATTGTTAGAACTGCTATTCTTGCAAGTATTGCCGGAGAAACGTCGCTCAAAGTTTGCATGCACTGGTGGAATTCTTCGGCTTGGACATTTGTTGTCTTTGGAACATTAGAAATGGCCGATAGCAAGATTATGCTTCGCTATTCTCTCAAAATGAGCAGGCAGAGCGGTTCTTGAAAATCAACAATCGAAACGATGGCCGAATTCCAAGAAAGCATTTCTTTTCCATTACTTTTATAGTCCTCAAAAACGTTTCGCACAATCCATTTAACAGAATTCA